TTTATAGTGCTACATGTAGTGATGCTGCATAGTGTGTAAATAAGTTGTAAATTGAACATGTGTTATTGGGACAATGTTAGAGGACACACACCCCGCCAAACACACACCGAAACTACGACGTTGGTATAAAAAAAAAATACATTTTTTGTTTAAAAAGAATAATTTCTAAGATTATGGAAAAAAGTTACAAAAAAAAACTCTGTTAGATCTTCCCCCCCCCCCCCATGCAAAACGGTGGAGACTGCCAGTTGAAACCAAATATTTTAATGAGTTTAGTTTTCTTTCCATATATTTCACCTTGAGATTCATTCTACTATCATTGGCAGAGATATTGTGTTATTTAGATTTGCTGTACTTCTATAAAATTAGGCATTTTCTCTCTGTTTGTATTTAAATTATTTTCGTATGTGAGATATTTTGTGTTTAAGCTATTGAAGGGATGGTTGTCAGCCCGGAGGTACACCACCCACTGTGGGCTCAGGTAAACCTGCAATAAGGTTTACTTTCACTCCTCTGGGTAATGAGATGTGATGAGACCAAAATATCAACACTCCGCTACATACACTACAACACTACAAACTCCCTAGTAGCTAAAATGGTTGAACCAGTTCAGTGGGAAGTAGACGAGTTTTTGAGTTCAACCAACTGAACAAGGAATTGGTTATCAGATCTCTAGCCGGTTCTGTACCATGTGGTATACTAGGTATACTGGGTATACTGGGTATACTTGACAACAGAGCCTGGCTGTTCTACATTTCCCACGCCCCAAGATGACTATTTTCCTAAGTGTGCTGTGAGGGCCAGAGGTGACCCCAGTGAGCTAGTTGGTCAGCTAGTTGTGAGATCTAAAGTATAGCACGAAGTCCAAGCCAGTATCGAAACCTCCTACTCGCTGGCCACAGATGAGGAATCGGATGAAGAGTATCTTAACACCGCGTCTGATCCCCTTCCCCGAGCAGCCTTGACCCTCACCGACCGGGTCTGACCCTTCCTCACATCCTCTTCCCGTCATCTATAACCTGTGACTCCTGATGCAACTCCAGACCTCTCATGTTCCCTGTGTTTACGCCTGGCGCCCATTGCCGGGCTAAGCTATCGCCCATGACAACATTCCACAGATGACAGCTGCCGCCTCTCCAAACATTATGGCACACAAAATATATATAGAAATGCCTTGCTCTGAAACTCACAGCCCTGACCCAGACATGCTAAGAGCGGCCCACACCCACAGTACTGGTTGTCCACTAGACATGCTAGGAGCGGCCCACACCTACAGTGCTAGTTGTCCACTAGACATGCTAGGAGCGGCCCACACCCACCGCGTTGCCTGTCCACTAGACATGCTAGGAGCGGCCCACACCCACCGCGTTGCCTGTCCACTAGACATGCTAGGAGCGGCCCACACCCACCGCGTTGCCTGTCCACTAGACATGCTAGGAGCGGCCCACACCCACTGCGCTGCCTGTCCACCAGACATACTAGAAGTGTAACTGAGTTCAACTGACACTTCCTTCCCTATTCTCCTACCCACTTTCCCTCCAATTCTCACCTTTTCCGTCTACTTTGTTATAGAGGTCAAACGTCTGCTAGCTAGGCTTGCTGGCACCGGATTTGTCACTTTCGTAATATTATAAAATTAATGGCCACTCATAGCAAACATTAACTGGGCCTACCAGAGGTTCAAGTAGCATTGTAAGTGGCCAAGACAAGTGGCGCGTTCCGGACTACACTTTGAATAAAGAACCTGGAGTTCTGCTGCACTTCTCTCCTTTGTTTCTCATTTCTTCTAATTCTTTCCTATTCCCTCTTTTCTCACTCGCACGTCCTCGACTTCTCTCCTCTTCCCCCTTCCATTCAGAGGCCAGCGTGACCCCTTGACAGTCCTCTGTTATGAGTAGCATTCATCTATCCCCTCCTCTCAAGTGGAACGTTGATGAGGTAAAAATTGGATTAATGGAACAAAAATAGATTAATGGGTCGAAATTCTTCAAAGTGGGGTGATCTGGGAGGTGTTATAAGTTATAGATCAGGGCCAGATGGTCAGTGGGGCACGACCTATTTACAGATCGACTTGGTTACAAGTTGACCTATTTACAAGTCAACTTGGTTACAAGTTGACCTGTTTACAAACCGACTTGGTTACAAGTTGACCTGTTTACAAATCGACTTGGTTACAAGTTGACCTATTTACAAGTCAACTTGGTTACAAGTTGACCTGTTTACAAATCGACTTGGTTACAAGTTGACCTATTTACAAGTCAACTTGGTTACAAGTTGACCTGTTTACAAATCGACTTGGTTACAAGTTGACCTGTTTACAAATCGACTTGGTTACAAGTTGACCTATTTACAAGTCGACTTGGTTACAAGTTGATCTGTCCTGTACAAGTCGACTTGGTTACAAGTTGATCTGTCCTGTACAAGTCGACCAGTAAACCTGTACACAGGTCCTCAAGGACCTCTTACCAATCGGTAAGAGGTCCAAGGTCCAATAGGTCCAAGAGGTCACTCTTCCCCCCCCCCCCCTCCATCGCTGGTGTGTTAGCCCTTGTATAAACTCAGTTGACATAGCCAGAACTCAGTGGCGGTTGGAGAAGTGTAGCGGAATGAAGTTGTCGGACAGGTGACCCCGATACTTACCACCTGGTCGGCAATAGCAGGATTTGAAGGTAACTGTTTTATGTGTTCCATATGTTGAGGATCAACCTTTGTCAACGAGGGTATTTTAGAGTAGGTTATAATTGAGTTTTATTGATAAATTACTGTGTTAAAGTCTTGCTAATTCAGTTCATTTCCTCATTTTTCTCATTAAAGTGAGCATAGATGATCTTGAGCTTGCTAGGTTCTTGGCCTTATTCAGTGATTTCTCCAAGTGCTTTATTATCTAATTATCAAGAAGCAGAAAGTAATAATTCCTAGCTGTCACTTTAGCAATTATCAAAGGAGTATCTGGGTCCTTTTATTTCATATTCTTGACCTGCCTCCTTAGGGTCAAGAGGGTATAAAGTACACTAATTATCACATTAATTACCTTCATGAGGGGGGAAGTGGTGTCAAAATTAACATCAAGGTCTTGCATATAATTAGTCTTGTCATAACACTCTGGCAGAAACTTCCCCACACGGTAAGTCAACTCTCCTCTCACCGTGAAATAATTCTGTGGCTTCCACTGCCACAGGAAGCCACTTCCACAGGAATTATTCTAGGTTTTGTTGTCATTCTAGCTAGGGAATTATCCTGATCTTAGTGGTAAGGATAATTATTAATGTTAATATTGATGACAGAGGATGTCTATCCACTAGATATGGTAGGAGGGCCCCGTGCCCACCGTGCCCGCCCGTACCACTAGACATGGTAGGAGGGCCCCGTGCCCACCGTGCCCGACCGTGCGGCTAGATGGGATCACGCTGCCTTTTGTATAAACACCTTCAGAAAATGGTATTATCATATAGAGTGGAGTGTTTGTTCACGTCTGACGCTGAGACGGTCTAAAGGGGAGAGGGGAGAGGGGAGAGGGGGAGAGGGAGAGAGGGGGAGAGGGGAGAGAAGAATAGCGGAGAGAGGGGGGAGGGAGGAAATATGAGTAGGGGAGGTAGTGCTCGTGAGGGGATAATAGTTTATGTAGCTAATTAAATTATAATGTGTGTGTGTGTGTATGTGTGTGTGTGTGTGTGTGTGTGTGTGTGTGTCATTAATGATGTAGCACAGAGCTGTCAACACTCTTCAAGGTGATTAAGTGATTATAAATTATTATATATATATATATATATATATATATATATATATATATATATATATATATATATATATATATATATGTATAATAATAATTTATAATCACTTAATCACCTTGACAAGTGATGATAGCTCTGTGTCACATCATTAATGACACACACACACAGTAGGCCTCGTAGCCTGGTGGATAGCGCGCAGGACTCGTAATTCTGTGGCGCGGGTTCGATTCCCGCACGAGGCAGAAACAAATGGGCAAAGTTTCTTTCACCCTAAGTGCCTCTGTTACCTAGCAGTAAATAGGTACCTGGGAGTTAGTCAGCTGTCAGCTGGGGTGTGTGTGTGTGTGATGTGGGGGAAAAAAAAAGAAAAAAAAGTAGTTAGTAAACAGTTGATTGACAGTTGAGAGGCGGGCCGAAAGAGCAAAGCTCAACCCCCGCAAACACAACTAGTAAACACACACACACACACACACACACACACACACACACACACACACACACACACACAGACACACACACACACACACACACACACACGCTGGCTAGCTGCATACATACAAACGATCACCGGTAAACAGAATACAGGGCAATCAAGTCCTTATAAATAGAGTAATATAAAATAAAAATATTTTAGGAATATTTAAATCCGAAATATATATACGAATCAAAGCAACAGAGAAACAATATGGTGAGAATGAAGATATGATTTGGTAGTTAGGGCTTAGTGTATGCGCAGAGAATTGGTATACTCTAGGTTATAACACTCACCCATCATTTATTCATCCATTACTTACTCACCCTTCCCATCCTCTCCCTTACCCAGTTGGAATGGTCGGAAAAACGACGGCTTTGCTACTTGCAGGATTGGTATTCGATCCCCCCAGCGGTTCAGGTGATCGGGTATTGATACTGTACATATGTAAGATAATCCTTATTTGACTGTTTCCACTAGAACAGTTAAGTCCCAAGGGCGTCTGGGTGTTAGTGACAGGATGAGCTACCCAACGGGTTTTATTCTTAATGGGAGGTGGGAGAAGGGTGATGCTCATACTTCCATGGGGGGGATATGTTGACTCACAGGATGAGTGCCGCTGCCGAATAAACTAGCCCTCCGCGGCAAAAAAATTCAACCCGTCCTCATATCCCAACTTCTTGTTCAACATATCCCCCCCCATTCTCGTGTCGTGTAGTCCCAGCATGACTACATGACACTGGCTTAGCATTTTCTCATTATTAATGTCTTTATCTCTCTCTTCCCCCTCCCAGCAGCCGTGTCCTTCGACCCCAAGAAGCTGGAGTCGTCGTCTCAGGTTTGGTCTGGATACCCTCATATCCTCTCCCCAAGCTTCGAGGACACGCCTCAGAACGTGACGGCGCTGGCAGGCGACTCTGCCTTTCTTCCCTGCACCGTATCTCACCTGGGTGACCGATCCGTGAGTACTGACCACCACCTTCCTCGCCTCACTTTTGCTCTGACCTCACCGTGGGCATAGGGTGAGGAGGACAAGGGGAAAATTGGTTGCTCTGAAGTCTACGTGAAGGACGATTTAATGTGTTGAAGTGGAACTGGGCACGAGGGTGAACTAGACTATTCCTGGAGGAGGGACTGGGTCTTGATTCGGTCTTAAAAGGAGGACTAACTCTTGGTGTATCCCTGGTTTTCCCGAAACGCTATGAGTACTAGTGGATTTAGGTATTGTATGTACTAGCTCTATCTTTTAAATTCCAACATTATGTTTGTAACTCATCTTCAATGCATGTACTTTTACCTAAATAAAAAATCTATCTATCTTTAGAGGAGAAACTGGATTATATCATACGGTCTCTGAAGAAACAGATGAGGAGTCCCACTAACGTGGCTGAAATATATTGACCAAACCACACACTAGAAAGTAAAGGGACGACGACGTTTCGGTCCGTCCTGGACCATTCTCAAGTCGATTGTGAAGAAGAGTATGAGAATGGGAAGACCTCTTAACAGAAGAGTTCTTACTTCCTCCAAGTGCAGATATTAGGAAACAGCGGCGCTATAAAAGGCAGCAGTTCGAGGAGGGACAAAGATGGCTAACTCTTGTAACACTGATCAACCAACCATAAGGCAGCGTCTGGGATGCTCTCGGACGTAGGTTCGAATCCTCGTCACGACCCCTTGTGGATTTGTTCATCAACCATCATATTACCGATCCCTCGGTTGAACGTTGCTGGAGCCGTGGAAGTCAACCGAGTCTCTCTCCGGAGTAATGAAGCGGGAACACCAGGGGGCAGAGTCTCTCTCCGGAGTAATGAAGCGGGAACACCAGGGGGCAGAGTCTCTCTCCGGAGTAATGAAGCGGGAACACCAGGGGGCAGAGTCTCTCTCCGGAGTAATGAAGCGGGAACACCAGGGGGCAGAGTCTCTCTCCGGAGTAATGAAGCGGGAACACCAGGGGGCAGAGTCTCTCTCCGGAGTAATGAAGCGGGAACACCAGGGGGCAGAGTCTCTCTCCGGAGTAATGAAGCGGGAACACCAGGGGGCAGAGTCTCTCTCCGGAGTAATGAAGCGGGAACACCAGGGGGCAGAGTCTCTCTCCGGAGTAATGAAGCGGGAACACCAGGGGGCAGAGTCTCTCTCCGGAGTAATGAAGCGGGAACACCAGGGGGCAGAGTCTCTCTCCGGAGTAATGAAGCGGGAACACCAGGGGGCAGAGTCTCTCTCCGGAGTAATGAAGCGGGAACACCAGGGGGCAGAGTCTCTCTCCGGAGTAATGAAGCGGGAACACCAGGGGGCAGAGTCTCTCTCCGGAGTAATGAAGCGGGAACACCAGGGGGCAGAGTCTCTCTCCGGAGTAATGAAGCGGGAACACCAGGGGGCAGAGATGCTCGAAAGGAAATGAAATAAATCAGGAGGGGAAGGGAAGGGAACTATCAGGAGAAAGTCCCAAGCCATTACGACTATATAGCACTAGGAAGGGGTCAGGATAAGGATTTGGGATGGGACGAGGGGGGGGGGAAGGAATGGTGGAGCAGGCGTGTGGAGGCTGAGGGAACGAAGGAGAAGACCTTAGGTTCACAAGCTTCTGTATTCATACAGAAGCTGAACATACGGTTTTAGAGAGGACTTAGCTTAATTGGTAAATTATGGACCCCATAACCACGCTGCACGCGGTGGCGGAAGTGCTGGAGTCTCATAATGGGTTCAGGAACTGGACCCAAATTTTGTTTGTCAAGCAATTTACATTTGTTACGAACTAGCCAGACATATTTTGTATATTTGTATTTGCTTTAAGGAACGAGGGGAAAGGTTCTGGGGTATAGAAACCTCGCCTTCTATGCCCCAGAAGTTCTCACGATTTGAAAAAGCATCAAGTTTGAAGTGGCATTACACCACCAGAAGCCTACGGACTTAAACCCCTACCTCGCCTATCGAGACCTATATTTATTATTCCCACTTACGTCAACACTGAAGCTCTCTCAATGGTATTAGAGTAATCGTGACGAGTTGGACGAAAGTATTAAAGTAATGGTGCAGTAAGTTGAATGGCAGGTTACGTGGGCCGGAGGTGATGCTCCCTCAACATACCAGAACAGTACGAAAACACAGAGCTGTTAAGTCCTTAACCCCCCCCCCCTTTTCATTCTTAACCCCATCCCCCCTATCCTTACCCCCCTACCCCCTATCCTTACCGTTTAATCATCCGAGGGCTAGCTAGAGAACACCCTCGCCGGACGGAACCCACCAGTTGCAATAGTGTATTTTTACAGTGTATGTTTATTTACGCTACCGGTATTGTATTTATAAACACAATAAAAGTATTCTCTCTCTCTCCCCTCGCCACCGAGGGGAGAGAGTGAGAGCATTATGTATCTTGGAGATGTTTAAGTAAGATGTTCTGAGATATGCTAAGGTGGTGCCACTGCCGAGAATGGCAATGGATATGTCTGTCTGTGTTTCTGTCGATTTTAATGCCTTTCTCACACGCAGATACACTCGGTTTCTATCACCTGATATCACTGTTCACCTAGCAGGAGTTGGACAGTTGTTACGGGGCTGAATCCTGGGGATGTGGGTGTGAGAAAAATATATGTAGCAAATGAAAGAGAAGGATGGGCAGACTGCATATTTTTGGATTGCCAGAAAGCCTTTGACACAGAACCCACAAACAAGACGAGTGCATAAATTGGAGATGCAGGCAGGAGTTCCAGGGAAGTTCCAGGAGTGCAGGCAGGAGTGACAGGGAAGCGCTCCAGTGGCTAAGGGAGTACCTAAGCAACAGCAGAAAGCGAGTTACTGGAAGGGGTGACGTCTCAGACTGGCAAGATGTCACTAGTGGAGTCCCACGGGGTTCAGTCTATGGACCTGTCCTGTTTCTCACATGTAAATTAACTTACAGAGGGAATAGAGTTACTCCTCTCAGTGTTACCTGATTTTGCAAAAGTTATGACAAGGATTAAGACAGAGGAAGACAGCAAGAGGCTACAAACTAAATGAATGGTCCAACAAATGGCTCCATGAATTTAACTCGTGTGCATGCAAATTAATTAAATTTGGCGTAGAGAGCAGGAAGCTAGACGCAAAGCACCAAATGGCAGATAAAATCCTTCTGGAATAAGCTAAAAAAGATCTGAGGGTCGATTTCACACCAAACTTGTTTCCTGACGCCCACATAAAATGGAAATCTTCAACGGGAGGTATTAAGTTAGCCAACATAAGAACTGGCTTTAAAAATAACAAATTTATGCAAGAATCATTCATAGCGTTATATACTACATATGTCAGACCAATCCTGGATAATGCGGCTCCTGCGTGGAGTCCATATCAAGCCAAGCACAAAGAGAAGTTAGATAAATTTCAGAGGTATGCCACGAGACTAGTACCGGAGGTGATAGAGATGAATAACGAGGAAAGGTGACAATAGGAATTATTGAACGATGGAAGACAAATATAGTTCAGAGAGACACGATTACCATATACAAAATTTTCAGGGGAATTGAAAGGGAGATAAGGCAGATTATTTAACACGGGTGGTAGTCGAACAAGGCTCATAGGTGGAAACTAAGTACCCAAATGAGCCATAGAGACACTAGAATGTTTTCGGTGTCAGAGTAGTTAACAAACAGAATGACACAAGGTAGTGGTGGAGACAGACTGCATACTCAGATTTAATTGTACCTATGATAGAGACCAATGGGCTCAGATTTTTTGTACGCCACTTGATTGGCAGTTGAGAGGCGGGACCAAAGAGCCAGAGCTCGTTGTGAGTGCTAGCAGCAAGCACCACCAGGTGTGAACACAAACCCGCCGTCCCAACCTCACTCAATCACTTTCAACAGCAATTTACATCCTTCACATTATATATATAAAAACTTTGACTCCACTTAATCTCCATTGCACCGTGAAATCTAACTTGGAGAGCATGAAGAAAAATGCATAATATATAAGTGTGAGAGGTTGTAAGGTACATTGCCTGTGGTTTATAGACTTACAGTTTGTCTAAGATGACAGATGGCGCGCCCGTCAACCACCGCTCTAAGACGGCTGAAAGCTTCTGGGGAGATCTTATCGTCAGTATTTTTGAGAGATTGGAAGAGCTGGCTGAGAGGGAGAGAATTGAGAGAAGGGAAGATCAGGGGAGCCGGAGGGAGGAGACATGAGGTATGAGATAATCATGAGGAAAGAGAAACATGGAGACAGGTTGCGTGAGTGCCATGTAGAGACTCACCTTGTTATATGGGCAAGAACACGAGGGAGAAGACCCCAGAATCAAGACAGAAAAAATATGGAGGAGGGAATCAGAGACAATCCAGATCCGTAACTTGGAAATAGGAGAATTCAGTACCTTTGGGAGTGGGTTGCAAAGGCACGGAACCTTACATAACGAACAGAAGCAAGAAACCTCATATAAAGAATAAAGGAATAGTGAAGATTACGTGCTAATTTTGGGTCCCATGCGCCTGAAATGTTAAAATTGTTCTGTTTGCCGGAACTTTGTTGGCTGATACGTTAAGATGAAAATCAATGAATATGGGCTTTTTTTCGTTTTATTTCTTAAGGTTTTATAAAGAAGAAACGAAAGGTACTCTGTTGTAGAAGAAACCCGTGTTGACCAGACCACACACACTAGAAGGTGAAGGGACGACGACGTTTCGGTCCGTCCTGGACCATTCTCAAGTCGATAGAATTAAGTAGAACCGACTTGAGAATGGTCCAGGACGGACCGAAACATCATCGTCCCTTCACCTTCTAGTGTGTGGTCTGGTCAACATACTTTAGCCACGTTATTGTGACTCATCGCCTGCACAAGAAATCCGTGATTTACATGATAATGTGTATGGTGTCACTGCAAGCAATCATTAACAGCAATGAAATCAACTAAAGCTCTCATTTTCATGCACAAAATGTTCCGAGATGTTTGTATGGTATACAACAGCAAACTGCATGATTTATTTTAGGGAATATACGTGCAAATTGGCGACGATTACATACAGTGCAAGTGACTAAGTTCTAAGCCAACTTCCAAGATATTCTATGAGTATAATTGATATATTCTAAATGAGAATGCTGCATGGGGTGCCTCCATTGATCCTAACGATGGGATATCACATGAAAACAGAAGCATGAAGGAGTTGGAAGGACTTGTCGGCAGTACAGTCAAAAACCACTCGATTGATTCTTCGTAATAGCCCCTGACCTTTCTAGGCTGGTCAAGGAATGTGCACAAGTCAATGGCATTTGTGGAGTTGAAATGGGTCATCATTTGGGGAAATGGGTCATCAAAACCATAATTGGGTCATCATTTGGGGTGGTATGTCACTGGTCAATACCAAACGAAAGACTTCAAAGATGAAGACTTGAAAGAACTTTGCTGATGTCTTTGTTGACATTCTGACAGACGCAACAGCTGGCTATGAAGTCTGACTGATCTTTGATCAATTTATGCAAGGATCATTGAGAGAGAAGATGAGAGGAAAGCTCACACGAGGTGATGAGATTCATTATTATATACATGACAGCACAATTTTAACAGAGTAAATGTTCGAGAGTTGCTGTATTCCATGTCCATAGCACAGGGTTGTAGGGAACAACCGGACAGAGACAGACAGACAGATTGGGTGTGAAGAAGGGGTAAGAAGATAAGAGAGGAGAAGCAGCTTACTTCTACCTACTGCCATAATCTCCGAGGGACCTCTGGCACTAATGGTGTCAGAGAAATGTAATTTCCTACTTGTCACTTCATCTCTTTCTTTGTGTGTGTGTGTGTGTGTGTGTGTGTTCTAAGTGCCTGTTGCATGTGTGCTAACTTACCAGTGTACGGAGAGCGAGATCAGGCTCTTGAGACCCGACTCCTGACCATTGGTGACTGGTACTTTTAATTCTTTGGAAGCCGTTGATGGAGGCGAAATACAGTGATCTGAATGCATCCTCGTCAGAGTTGCTGAAGGTGGTCCTGACGGGCGCCTGCCCCATGTGTGACGCTCACATTGTTAGTTTTGTGTGTGTGTGTGTGTGTGTGTGTGTGTGTGTGTGTGTGTGTGTGTGTGTGTGTGTGTGTGCTTACGCTTTTTATAGTGCCGTAAAGCTCGGGCGAACACGGCGTCCATCTTAAGGCTACGGAGTGGTGCTGAATACCAGAATGGGGTGTACTGCTGGTGGGGGAGAGGTGTGGTACCCATAGTGGGGGAGCAAGGGTGTGGTGATACGTGTTAACACGTCACGTATCACGTGTCGTGGACCGTGTCAACGCGTCAAGGGTCATGTGTGGTTTTCAGTGTTTACAAATCAGGTGTCAGTAAGTGGTAAGAGAGACCAAGAAAAGCCTTTATTTTGAAGATTGTTATGCCTCGCCTTTACAAACAAATTGTAATCTTCTGTTAAATCTAAACTTGGTGACTTGGTGTTACTTCTGCCTCGACGGAGTGAATTACATGACGACCTAAGAAACTTGCCGTGGGACCGACTGACAGATGCGAAGAAAAGCTGTTTTAAGCTTATCTGCTGGGTTTAAAGATGCCACAGTCTTATCTTAATCTTAGCATTACCTTGCCTGCAAGACATATGGTATACAAACTGATTTTCTAACAATAGAATATATAAACTCTATATCCCGTTCTTGACTATATCTCCCGGACAGATGCAGTGGAGTTTCTTGCTGTTGTCATATTAAAGTATATAATTAACATCTGAAGCTATAAAACAAAGGATGATAATGTTGTGTTCTAGCAGAGATAAAACTAGTAAAAACAGATCAATAAAAAAAATCCACACAAATACCAGCCTTGATTATTCAACAAACCTCCTCAATAAATAAAGGACGTAGCAAATAAAGATAATTGTCTAGTGCATATAATCCCAGCATCCCTGGAGCTCCCACGCCTGGCATCTCGGCTTAGCATCGTCTTAATACCACTTCCATTTAATGTCTGTGATGATAATCCAATGTTACAGCCCTGCATTACCCAAGGCCTGGCGCGCTGTCTGCTGGTCTTGGAGCCTCTGTACTCCTCTGGCAAGTCTACTGAAAGGTCACATGTGCCGTGGACCTTTATAAGGCAAACCCCTTTGTAATATATGCACATATTTATTTTGACCAGACCACACACTAGGAAAGTGAAGGGACGACGACGATACGGTCCGTCCTGGATCATTCTCAAGTCGATTATCCAGTCTTTCGATTCTCACAATCGACTTGAGAATGGTCCAGGACGGATCGAAACGTCGTCGTCCCTTCACTTTCTAGTGTGTGTGGTTTGGTCAACATATTTCAGCCACGTTATTGTGACTCCTCGTCTGCATATATTTATTGCTTCGCTACCGCACAGAAGCCCGGTTACTGGTTTCTTATAACACTCTTATATCCGGGCTTTGTGGCCAGGAGTGACTTTACGAGCGGCTGCGATGGCATTCACTCGTCTCGGAACGACTCGTAAGCGCTTAAACAGTTACTTGACTCAGGCTCCGAAGCGCAGTGTTTATTCAGCTTCATCTTAGCAAAAAGCATTGCACCGAATTGTATCATATTAGATGGAATATTAGATAGAAAATGGAACAATAGATCGATCTAGAGATGACCATCTCGCCTAGAAATGGTAGTTCTTGGATACTCTGTACACAACATTATGTGTCTGTGAGTGTGTGTGTGGACTCACCTAATTGGGCTTGGGAGGATTGAGCTCTGGCTCTTTGGTCCCGGCGTGTGTGTGTGTGTGTGTGTGTGTGTGTGTGTGTGTGTGTGTGTGTGTGTGTGTGTGTGTGTGTGTGTGTGTGTGTGTGCGTGTGTGTGTGTGTGTGTGTGTGCGTGTGCGTGTGTGTGCGTGTGCGAAAGTGTATGCTCTCGCCCCAGCACTTTTATTCATGGCAATTTAACACCTGCTCACCAACAAGGAATATAATGTTTACATTTGAATTTTAAGAATAACCAGATGAGAGAGATAGAGGGGGGGGATAGAGGGTAGAGTCAGAGAGGGGAGCGGGGATAGAGGGGAGAGTCAGAGAGGGGAGCGGGGATAGAGGGGAGAGTCAGAGAGGGGAGCGGGGATAGAGGGGAGAGTCAGAGAGGGGAGCGGGGATAGAGGGGAGAGTCAGAGAGAAGGGGGGGGAGAAAGTATTTATGAGTACGTTCCCACTGCTCGCCATTCCTCGTCCCCAAACATACACAAACACACACATGGTGGAAAAAGTGGAAATGTTTACATTGAATACCGATTGAACAAAGGGACACGGATGGAAGCTTGACTCAGATGTGTCATAGAGATGTTAGAAGATCTTCTTTAAGCGTAAGAGAGGTAAATGAAATCATCTAAAAGGAGTAGATTGAAGAGGCAAACTCAGTTCACAGCTTAAATAAAGCAAGTATGATAGGGAAATAGGTCAGTAGCCATTACATTAGACAACCAGCGGCTAGAAAAAGAGGACTCAAGAGCTACATCTTGATCCGGCAAGCACAAATAGGCGAGTACAAATATGTGAGTACATTCGCGTTTCAAAAGAGCGGTAAGAAATGCAATCGATGAGTCACAATAATGTGACTGATGATATGATGACTAAACCATACTAAAGTGTTAGGAGTTACTCAAACATGGTAGGCTGGTACCGTAGACTTATATTCCTGTTAATCCTCGCCGACTTGGCCCCCAGGTATTGTCTCCATAGGGATCACCAATATTTTCAGATAGACAAATAGAATTTTATGTCAATAAACGAGTGGGTTAATAAACGGGTAGATCGGTAGATAATTTGACTTGTTGATTAGTAGCATATAACAGTAGACGAACATGCTGATAGACGGGAAGACGACCACCATAACAGACTGATTAGCGCGACGACAGATGTTTATCTGTCGCAGGTGTATGTGGTGTCAAAAGCTGGACGGAAAGACGGTCTCAAGCACTGTAAACAAATCCACAAGGGCCGTGACGAAGATTCGAACCTGCATCCGAGAGCATCCCAGACGCTGCCTTAATCGACTGAGCTACGACTCAATCGACTGAGCTACTCAAGCACTGTATTTTCACAGTGGAAGGGGGAAAGTAGGTATAGGTGACCCCATACCTCATCCCGCACCTTGAGAGTTAAGAGTACCAGTGCATGCGAGGCGCTGGCAGGTCTGAGTAGTACTGAAGTGTGTGAGTATTAGGGGGGAGGGAGTATGAGGCGTATCCGTAAATACTGGGGGAGGGGTGAAGAATATCTGGGAGTACTCAAAATGTAGTGATGAGTAATCAGATGTGTCCATGAGTAACTAGGGATGCTAAACAAGGTGATGATGAGTAACCAGGTGTCTCCCCCTTGCAGGTGACGTGGATGAGGAAGCGAGACCTACACATACTCACCGCGGGGGTCTACACTTACTCCGCCGACGACAGGTTCATGGTAGGTGACCCCTGTGTGTGTGTGTTGACCTGTAGCCGTGGCTGTGGCTGTGTCTGGAGTTGTTGATGTGGCTGTGAAGTGGCTGTGATTGTACCTATGGCTCTAGATGTGCCTGTGGCTATGGATATGTCTGAAGTTGTAGTTGTAACTATGGCTACAACTACAACTGTGGCTGCTTAAAGTATAGACTATTAACAATAAATGCATATTTCAAGATATATGGTATACGAAGATGTTCAGAAAATAGTTTCAAATAAGATAAGTGTGTATTAGGATTTATACATAAATCTCAATAGAGAAAGAGAAAGAGAGAGAGAGAGAGAGAGAGAGAGAGAGAGAGAGAGAGAGAGAGAGAGAGAGAGAGAGAGAGAGAGAGAGAGAGAGAGAGATTGAGATTTTAAGGTTATTCATAATATTAACTCCATTGTGAAACTCCTCCCTTGATTGGCTTTGATCAAAATATATATAAAGTTTCCGTTATTACTTGGCTTTATGCGTTAATTAAGCTCCTGCCTGTGGCTTTATAATCTGCATCAAGTCACTCGGAAAATACAAATCCGTTGCTAACTCTCCATTCATCAATCCCAGCTGAGATAATTGGCAATGCGAGTACTAATTGGTCGTCCTACATTCGAGGCCATATGCGGGGTATTTAAGCCTGTACAGTTATAAGATCCGAATCCAAAAACAAATTTTGGATTTTTTCTCCAAAATTTGCCAAAGTTAAACTTCCAGAAATAGATTAGTTAAATTATATCTACGTATTGATATGATGCAATTGATCACTTTCACTGTAAATTACTTCCTTGTTTTTAACTACTAAGATCTTCCCCTAGGGTACTGAAGAGACCAAAGGCCTCCTACTAAGAGTACCTCCACATCTTCAGCGCCTCCCACTACGAGTACTTCCCCATCTTCAACGTCTGCCACTAAGAGTACCTTCCCCATCTTCAACGCCTCCCACTAAGAGTACCTCCCCATCTTCAACGCCTAAGAGCACCTCCCAATCTTCAGCCCCTCCCACTAAGAATGCCTCCCTGTTACAGGTCCTTCACCCGGAGAACTCTGACGACTGGACGCTGCACATCAAATTCGCCAACGAGCGTGACGCTGGCGTCTACGAGTGCCAGGTCAACTCCGACCCCAAGATTAGTCTCAAGGTCACTCTCACTGTAAAAGGTGAGCCGGATCCGGTGCGCTGAGTCAAAGGCCTCCCCGGTATCCCTGTCTGGAAATCATTGTGCTAAATATGTTTTTGTCTAAGATATTATATAGTGATTACAATAAGTATTTTAGCTGGAGTGTAGGAGATGTTGTGAGATGGTGGACGGTGATTTGACTTGCTTGTGTTTACTGTTTCCTACAGATAGCCAGCTGGATGACCCTCTGCACTACGGGATAGCCACCACGGATACTAGTGAGTCACCATCTGTCTGTCAAATGACTGTCTGAATATATTTGTATCTCTCTCTCCCTCTCTCTCTCCCTCTCTCTCTCTCTCTCATCAGTATGTGTTCCATCTGTATGTCTCACTGCCTGCGTGTCATTCTTCAAATGTTTGTGGTTTTCATGCTTACATCAGCTTTGTCAGGCTTCGCCACAGTCTGAGCCTACTCCTCAATCTGTGCCACAGTCTGTATTTGAACCTCAGTCTGCGACCCAGTATGTGCTTCGATCCGTTCGTTAGTGAATTTGACATGATTTATGTTACGAAATATGTCTCATGCGTGTGCGTGTGCGTGTGCGTGTGTGTGTGTGTGTGTGTGTGTGTGTGTGTGTGTGTTTATGCACTTAAAGATCAAAATACCACAAATGGATCTCGTCAGCTGGAGAGAATGTGTGAGGGAGGGAAAAACGAGAGATGCCTCAGCATTCGTCAGCGGCCCCCAGTTAGGGGCGCCTTTTGTACGCAAACAAGTGTCAGTCAAAGTCAGCCCAACCGTCGATGTTTGCTTTGTTGGCTCTCCCGGGGCACGTCACGCCCCCATCACCCACGCCCACAGCTAGCCCCCCACACTCACGCCCACTTCCGCCCTCACGTCCTGGGCAACACTCTCCAATCTCACTTCCATTACTACAGCCTTACTCATTTCCACATCACCCATCCTCCCCCTCACATACAATCATCCACCCACCCTATCATCCACGGTCAGGGGCCTCACCCACACCCTCACCCACACTAACAACCACCTCATACCTACACTCACCTCCCATATCGTCATGGCTGTCAACGTTCTAAAGAGACGACTGCAATTCGCAGAATCTTATTGCCTTTCTTTTCTAACAAAAAATAATATTAACAAAAATCTCTGCAGACGAAGTCTGGAAACGATTCTCGGCGCTTACAAGAAATCCGGCAGGAATTCCGGAAATCTCAGATATTTGGGTTTTTATAGACCGAAGGAGCGCAAAGCTGCAGGAGCAAACGAGCCATTTTCGATCGTGTTGATATTCTGGATTGGTGATGGTTATTATTATGCTTGTGCCCGGGGAGGACAACAAAGAAAGCAGGTAGCGGTTGGCCCAAGATATCTGGCACCAGAGGTCTTGGTCCGGTGAGTGACTACCTTCAGGAGTGTGGTGGTGGTGGTGGGCTGACAACACGTTGGCCAGAACGATGGCAGGTATTCGGATTGATGTGTGTGTGTGTGTGTGTGTGTGTGTGTGTGTGTGTGTGTGTGTGTGTGTGTGTGTGTGTGTGTGTGTGTGTGTGTGTGTGTGTACGTATGCATACCATACTTGAGTGTGTTGTATGGTGCTATTTGATGGCCATCAGACATACACCACATTCAGCTCAGTTAGTGTTTCTACTTAATTAATACTTTACTAGTAGTAGTTTACTTAGTAGCATACTAAGTAGTTTCTACTTAGTGTGCAACTGTGTGTAGCTCCAGCCTTCACAGCTCCCGCCTGCATACAGAAGACAGTGATATAATTGAGGATAAAATGTACGGTGCCAAATTTCGTCCTACGCCTCTGTATTTACTGCTGAATCAACATCTTTTAATTAAAAATGATTTCAGCCGAATTAATCCAACATCTCCAAGTCACAAATAAAAATATATGTGGAAGGCTAGAAACCAGAAGCTTATGGTTAGCCGCATCGAATTTTATCAATAATTGTCATTAGGTATATATAAATTTGTTTTAATTTCTGACTATGTCAAACGATACTTACTGATGTTCCGCAAAATTCAAAAATAATTTAGCAGGATACAGATGAACACTCAGTTACCCAAATGAGCAAAAGTTCTGTGAAAGAACTTTTTTCAGTGTCAGAGTTATTAAGAAATGGTATGCATTAGGTAGTGTTGTGGTGGAGGCAAACTCTATACACATTTTCAAATGTAGATATGAGTAGTATCTGCTGAGACCCTATCTACTATCTACTACTATCAGTAGTATCTACTACTGAGCCCAGTAGGCTCAGGAACCCGTGAGCCAGTTGAATGAGAATTGAGAATTGAGTTTCGGCCAGACTAAAGAGCCGAAACTCAACTCCCGCAAGCATAATTAGTCGAGTATAATTACGTTTATACATAAACATGATCCACACACACACACTCCCACCGTGGCAATATCTGGAGGAGGACTAAATGGGAACCAATCCATAACTGTTCACCCAACAGTAATTGGGGACCTGAGAATAGAACAGATTGGCGAATCATGTTTCAGGGAAATATTAATAGTATAAGGTTTACCATGAAACATGGAAATGGGAAGCTATCATCCTACTAACAGGAGTTTAAAGGCGTCTATTCCTGTACCTAACTGTAAGAAAAAAGACAGGGAGAGAATGACAGACATAGATAGAGACAGAGAGGAAAATACAGTCAGACAGACACGTGAATTCTTAACATGTGGACTAGCTTAATATGGGTCTTAATGGTATAAAATAAAATATATTAAGTGACATAATTTTGAACAATATGATCTTAGCTGTTTATATATATATATATATATATATATATATATATATATATATATATATATATATATATATATATATATATATATATATATATATATATATATATAATCACAAGAGAAACTGAGCACAGAACGTCTCTCAAAGGCTTTCTTAAGCTGTAGAAAGCTTACAATATTAGATGTCTGCAAGAATTTCAACATACCTACAGTAGACTTCAATTTTTACGTCCATGTATACAAGGACTTTCCGCTCAATAGCGCCCATGTAAAACTATTCGTAAATAGAACACCAAAGGGGAAAACCCCATTGCGACACCATCTACTTGTTTGTGCAAGACACTACCAGGGTTCAGAAAACGGCCTTTATTTTTATATCATTCGAGCAATTTCACATGTGTACATTCTAGAGTTTCAAGAGTAATGTAAACTGGATCCTAAAAATCCTTGCCCATTATCATTCCAATAGTCTCATCCATGGCCACGTTGGCGACCAGACTAAACTTTCAGAGAATCTCTCCCAGGTCTCGACTTCAGACACGCCCGTGTATGGAATAATATAAACTGATTCACGTCTTCGACTTGAGAATGATCCAGGACGGACCGAAACGTCGTCGTCCCTTCAACTTCTAGTGTGTGGTCTGGTCAACACGTCGAGAACTTTATGTATATATATATTTTTTGACACAAACATGGTTTGGGAAGGCCAGCAGTTGGAAGAGGTCTAACCGTTGATAACCAAAGAAATCCATGGAGTTTATAATGAAGCTCATTTTCATGTCATCCCACCTATCCCTTTGGAACACCAAGACCCACCTGCTTACTCACCTATCCATCCTGTTCCACTTTAAGTGACGCGTCCCTTCCCTTCGTATACCCAGCCTTACTTATTTTTCCCCATACACTCATCACCCTCTTCCTCATCCCATGTTGAGGTTGTCTACTTCGTACCTACGTTCTCTGTTCCAGTACTCATCATCAACAGCCCATCCAGCTGGTGTCTCTCAACCTCTCGCGCCTGTACTCCCACAGAGTCTGTCTGTCTGTCTGTCTCCCGTTCCTGTCGCGTGCTGGCTCATCCAGATTTTGTTGCGTCCCAAGGAATAATGTTAAGCTTCGGCTCTTGCGAAGCTGTGTTGCTCTACAAATAAGATGATATATTTTTGAGTCACTTGCATAATTGTTTAGGGTATCTGGGATAATTTTCTTAGAGAATTTGGGAATATTTTTCCAGGCATTTGAGATCACGTTTCGGGGATTTGATTTAAACTTCCATGGATTTTGGACAACTTTTAGCTGATATCTGATATATCTTTTGGGGCTCACATATTTAAAAGTTCAAACGGCAGTTTTCCACGTCCTTGTGGGGTTCATTTGTGAACTCTGGGGTTCACTGAGGTCTGGTTACTTTCCGGACCTCGAGGAGGGAGGAGGTCATTCTTCGCCGCCTTGCCAACATGACTCATATTTCTCTCATAAGGCTATAGTGGTGACCTCACTTACCCAGTCACTCCATCTGTCCACTCTTGCAGGGTTTCCTGACTATATCTTTGACAACAACGACAAGGAGACGAAAAAGAACCCAAAGAAGAGCGGCAAGAATAAGAAGAATAAGGGTAGGCGTAATTGGAGGCGACGCAAGGGTAGGCCGAGGGTGCATGAACACCTGTTCACAAGCTTTTCTCACGCTCCGTATTTCTGAGGCCATCCAGAACAAAAATAAATAAATCAAATGAGAACCTAAAGCTGGTTAACTTCACCAAGACCCCCTCCTTGTCTGATCCGAGGGACTTGGGTGCATGCCAGAATGCTTTCCGTGGGCCATATCCTGTTTATCATGCTTGGTCAGTCACAAGCCAACCCGTGAATGCTGATTGGTCCTGGCCCACCGTGACGTCATAAATGTAAACAAACTTCCAGACTCCAGGCATTGTGGAAGTGCTTCTGGCGGAAACAGCCATTTAGCTCCAACAGCAAGCCCTGCAAGGGGGAGTTTGTGTACATTTGTGAGGGGAAAAGTGAATCTGGGCTTTTCTTCTAACTTTCTTGGCCACATTCTCCAGCGTATACACACTTTAACAGCCCCACGCAACAGGTGTCTTTGCCAGCAGTGTGATTTTGCAAAGAAAAATGTAATAACTTTACAATTTGTCGTCATGCGCTACAAATTTTGCTCTGTTATATTCACAAAAACACAAAATTATAGACAATTATTTTAACTAAAAAACAAAACGCATTTAAGACGATTCAATAAATGTTATTTGTAATAATTATACACACATCTGTTGGCAAATATGTCTGTATATGATACAGGGATACTAATCACGAGGACTTACATAGTGAACAAGGAGAGAGCATCCTACACCAGATGGAAACACGAGTCCTGTAACATCAGGGAGCAGGAAATCCTACCCAGTGAAAGATATCCTTTCACATCCTGGACAAGCTGAATGAGTGTTGATATCTTATCACGGACGCTATTTCTCCCATGTTCCCTTGACAACCACCGCCACCACACACACTCCAGCCTTTACCATTCCCAAGCAACACTCCCACAGCAACACTCCCACACCAGTACACCCACCACAACACTCGCGCCTCCACACCCATGCCACCCCCCTCCAACACAAACTAAGAATACACAACTATCCAGGACTAAGAAGCCATGACTACCATCAGGAATACCAACTAGGGCTACCAACCTGACTTACCACCCAGGTCACCTGCTGCAGCATGTTAATTTTTGTGCATAATGAATATATGGACTATTGTGTGTTGAGCCGACTAGTGTGTCTTTGTCCTAACCAACTACGGACCTTGCTGGTTCTAACTAAACACGGACAACTCTGATGCTCTCCAGGAACGGACCATTCCGATACTAACCAAGCACAAACTATGTCCGTATTAACTAAACGCGAACCATGTCGGTACTAACCAAGTTCGGTTAGTACGGATATGGCTAGTATAGCGGACCACGCCTTACTAACCAAGGACTAACCAGCCAGACTAACTAAGCATGGACCACGCCGGTTATATTTTGATGCATAGTTCATCTAAATATTTCTCACAGATTTAACACACTATTCTAACAAATTCCAGGTTTCCTATTTTCTAGGCTAAATAAGCTTATTTCCTAACTACAATAGGCACAGATCATGGACTAAAATAGGAGTGTGTTCTTGGTCAAGATCAGTAGGTTTTGTCCGGCCTTAAACGGGCTTAAGTTGAACAAATAGATTCTATAAAGTATTCAGTATCTACTATCTCTTCTGTAGTGAATGTATTTACGATCATTTCTCAGGTGATTTTATTATTCCAAACATAAATTACAAGTCTATTATAGATTCGTAGAAAATTAATGATAATGGAGGTAAGTTAATATGCACAAAAAACTTACTGGAATTCCTGAACAGTGAAATGATGTGAACAGAGAGAGAAAGAGAGAGAGAGAGAGAGAGAGAGAGAGAGAGAGAGAGAGAGAGAGAGAGAGAGAGAGAGAGAGAGAGAGAGAGAGAGAGAGAGAGAGAGAGAGAGAGAGAAAGAGAGAGAGAGAGAGAGAGAGAGAGAGAGAGAGAGAGAGAGAGAGAGAGAGAGAGAGAGAGAGAGAGAGAGAGAGAGAGAGAGAGAGAGAGAGAGAGAGAGAGAGAGAGAGAGAGAGAGAGAGAGAGAGAGAGAGAGAGAGAGAGAGAGAGAGAGAGAGAGAGAGAGAGAGAGAGAGAGAGAGAGAGAGAGAGAGAGAGAGAGAGAGAGAGAGAGAGAGAGAGAGAGAGAGAGGGAGAGAGAGAGACAGAGAGAGAGAGAGAGAGAGACAGAGAGAGAGAGAGAGAGCTTTGTTTGTAGATGTGATAGTACGCGTGTAATTGTGGGATATACCCGATATATACGTGTATGGGATATAGGAGTGTATATGGACCAATACAAGGACCGTACGCATGGCATAAGAACACAGGCCAGTAATGAGCGCAGAGGTGAACGCCCCTTGTATAGATATCGTGGGACCTCAACACAGGTCCCACGATCTCTATCATCCCCTAGGTGGTCCATGGTCCGTTCCTGGGACACCTAGGAAGGGTCTCATTCCTAGCTGGTGGTGGTGGTGCTGTTTCTTCCCCACCACTGGCGATATATGTTCACCCCCTAGTGTGAACAGTATCGCCTGATAGTGTGATTACACTATCTAGGAGTAGAGCATGATAGTGAGGCCCCTATGGCTAGATGTAGGACCTAATATATGACCCCATTGGCTAGATGTAGGACCTAATATATGACCCCATTGGCTAGGTGTAGGCCCAAATATATGACCCCATTGGCTAGGTGTAGGACCTAATATATGACCCCATTGACTAGGTGTAGGACCTAATATATGACCCCATTGGCTAGGTGTAGGACCTAATATATGACCCCATTGGCTAGGTGTAGGACCTAATATATGACCCCATTGGCTAGGTGTAGGACCTAATATATGACCCCACTTAGCTAGGTGTAAGACCTAATATATGACCCCACCTAGCTAGGTGTAAGACCTAATATATGACCCCACCTAGCTAGGTGTAGGACCTAATATATGACCCTACCTAGCTAGGTGTAAGACCTAATATATGACCCCACCTAGCTAGGTGTAAGACCTAATATATGACCCCACTTAGCTAGGTGTAAGACCTAATATATGACCCCACTTAGCTAGGTGTAGGACCTAATATATGACCCCACTAGAACAAATCATGACCCCACCAGGTGAACACAGTGAACACACCAGCGACCACACTTGTGTTCATTGACAGTTGAACGAAGTAAAACGCACCAAAAAAAAAAGAGTGAATAATATAAAACATTCGTTGATTAAAAAAAAATTATTGCTCCTAGTTAGACCTATGTTAGGTTTGGTAGATTAATTAAATGTTGTAAATACACAGAGGATAGGTTAGGGGAGATTAGAGATGTGATTTGCTTCTAGTTAGGTGAGATTAGCGATGTGATTTGCTTCTGGTTAGGTGAGATTAGAGATGTGATTTGCTTCTGGTTAGGTGAGATTAGAGATGTGATTTGCTTCTGGTTAGGGGAGATTAGCGATGTGATTTGCTTCTGGTTAGGTGAGATTAGAGATGTGATTTGCTTCTGGTTAGGTGAGATTAGAGATGTGATTTGCTTCTGGTTAGGGGAGATTAGAGATGTGATTTGCTTCTGGTTAGGTGAGATTAGAGATGTGATTTGCTTCTGGTTAGGGGAGATTAGAGATGTGATTTGCTTCTGGTTAGGTGAGATTAGAGATGTGATTTGCTTCTGGTTAGGTGAGATTAGAGATGTGATTTGCTTCTGGTTAGGGGAGATTAGAGATGTGATTTGCTTCTGGTTAGGGGAGATTAGAGATGTGATTTGCTTCTGGTTAGGGGAGATTAGAGATGTGATTTGCTTCTAGTTAGGGGAGATTAGAGATGTGATTTGCTTCTAGTTAGGGGAGATTAGAGATGTGATTTGCTTCTAGTTAGGGGAGATTAGAGATGTGATTTGCTTCTAGTTAGGTGAATTTTTTGCTTCACATCAATATTGCACTTTGTTATAACGTGTAATATATATTGACTCTATTGCAGAGTCAATATATATTACACAGCTCATGATGGTGGCCTGAGTTGAGCCTCTTGCAACTAACAGATGAGTGTAAGACATTTACTAATATATGCGATTAATTACAGATCTGTTTTAGAGTACTAACGTGAATGACTTGAAATATAAGTTTAGAGAGTGATTTATTAGTAAATATTTTTATATTAAAAAATTCATAGTATTTTTACTATGTATAATGTTTTGTTTGTACTTTGGTGGAATGTTGCTCTCTGGGGGGAAGGGGGGGGGTGACCCTTTTTTGAGTAAGGTCATATCCCATATCCCATGTCCCAGCTCCACACCCAGCACCTTGCCATGTCCCAGCTCCACACCCAACACCTTGCCATGTCCCAGCTCCACACCCAACACCTGGACATGTCCCAGCTCCACACCCAGCACCTTGCCATGTCCCAGCTCCACACCCAACACCTGGACATGTCCCAGTGTTCTTAATTTTTATATTGTTATTTTCTTAAAGAGAGAAGGAAGGAGAGAGAGGAATGGAAGAAACCATGTAAGGAACTAGAAAGAGAACGAAGGAGAGACGGTAGAAAATAAAAGAGTGAGGAAAAGGAGAGGAAAGGATGGAAATAAGGCAAGAGAGAGAGAGAGAGAGAGGGAGGGAAGAAGAGAGGGAGGTAAGGAGCCTAACTTTAAAACTTAGTGTGCAAAGTATCATCAATGGCTGGAGCTGGCGGAACCTCCCACAAGTTACCGGAGGGGGACCTGAATAGCTGCAAAAAAAAAAAAATGCTGAATAGAGATTTTTTTAAAACTCTCGTACACTGACCTCGTTAGGCCGGCCGAACGAATTCTTGACAGGTTTCGACCGTTGTGAGCGAAGGTAAAGTTATCCATAATTCGGTTCACTGAACGGATAATGAAAAGTCATTCGGAAGGACTTGGGGGTAGTTAGTTTCTTGTTTAAAGTTTGTTTCAAAAAGTGTGTTTTGAATTTATCTAATCTCGCTTCATAGACGATTGTTAATTAACTTCCACTTCATAATTGTTTAAGGGATATAATAACTAGTGGAGATAGCTGGAGATAGCTCATGTAACGAGCTCTATGTCAGAAGGAAAAAGATAACTTTATGAACTCTATGACGAGGCTCTTTCTATGTCTCTTTTTCTGACTCTTGCTGCAGCTTTGCTGGGGCTGCTGCTCTTCTATGTCTCTTATTAATTCATGGATATAATGGATTTTCAATTATTTACTTCTTTTGGTTTCGTGAACTTGTCGACGTGGTTCGCTGTCATTGTATTTTAGGATCAAATTGTAAATTAATTTATTATCTACAGATATAATTTTCTGGTATTTATTTTATAAATTAGTTTAAGTACAGGATTATTATTTTTTTACTTTTTGTACTTTATTTGTCTCATTTTCCTGTATTTTATATAGTTTTTTTGGTCACATTAATATTCAAATAATATTTCTCGCTTCTTATTGTTTACTAGTTGAAAAAATACATAATTTTTTTTGTCATAAGTAAATTCACCCAGTATAATATTATGAACATATAGACTTATTAATGTAGTCTAACACCCCCATTACCGCCAATTTAATACCTGCTGAGGCAGGTATTAAATTGCATTAATACCTTCTTATTATTAATACAATAATTAATATTGTATTAATGGAGTGGTAGTATTAAACTACCACTCCATTCTGGACCTGGTAGTCACTCTCTTCTGCATTTTAGTTGCCTGTTAATGACTCTACATTACTCAGTAGTGCATATAACTCTTACTCATTTGCTGCCTGTTATTACCCCCTTTATAGTTACTCATTGAAACCTATTAATATAACCATTTGTGAGCCATATTACGTGGACAGCTGTTCAGTGTCATTACAACTCTTCATCATCCGGTTACGAGTTGTTACATATATTAGTACACACATGCACACGCACACACACACACACGACGGTTGAGAGGCGGGACCAAAGAGCCAGAGCTCAACCCCCGCAAGCACAACTAGGTGAGTACAACTAGGTGAGTACACACACACATTTTCTAGGGTCGTCGTCCTAAGAACCTGGATTCGTTTCCTGGCTGAAGCAGAAACAAATGAATAGTTTCATTCACCTTATGTCCCTGTTCACCCTAGAGGATAAAAAGTAGCTGTGAGCTGAGCTGAGCTCTGGACCCAAACCAGCTGAGGACTGGTCCCAAACCTGCACACAGAAATAACACCACATGAGACCAGAAGGCATGGCAGGATGTGCACAATACCCCCGTTGAAAAGCAGAGGTGCAACAGGTACTCTGAGGGAGAACTCCATCAACATCAGAGGCCCGAGACTGTTCAACACGCTTCCACTACACATAAGGGACATAACTGGCCGACCCCTCACAGTGTTCAAGAGAGAACTATCAACACCAGAGGCCCGAGACTGTTCAACACACTTCCACTACACATAAGGGACATAACTGGCCGACCCCTCACAGTGTTCAAGAAAGAACTATCAACATCAGAGGCCCGAGACTGTTCAACACGCTTCCACTACACATAAGGGACATAACTGGCCGACCCCTCACAGTATTCAAGAGAGAACTATCAACATCAGAAGCCCGAGACTGTTCAACACGCTTCCACTACACATAAGGGACATAACTGGCCGACCCCTCACAGTGTTCAAGAGAGAACTATCAACATCAGAGGCCCGAGACTGTTCAACACGCTTCCACTACACATAAGGGACATAACTGGCCGGCCCCTCACAGTGTTCAAGAGAGAACTATCAACATCAGAGGCCCGAGACTGTTCAACACGCTTCCACTACACATAAGGGACATAACTGGCCGATACCTCATAGTGTCCAAGAGAGATCTTGACAAACACCTCCAAAGGATACCTGCTCAACCAGGCTGTGATTCATACGTCAGGCTGTGAGCTAGCACCCGCGTCCAACAGCCTGGTTGACCAGTCCAACAACCAGGAGACCTGGGCGATGACCGGGCCGCGGGGACGTTGAATCCCTAAACCATCACAAGGTAACCAGGTATCCACAAGGTAGGAGAGTCACACGGCTGCTACGGCCTGCATCCTGGGGACTCAACCCGTAGCAACAGACTATTCTCGGCCACTATATCACCACACCACTAGCAAACATATATATTAAATCGTGATAATAGTAATGGCAAATAAATCATATAAATTAATGCAAACTAAAAAACAACCTATTCGCTGTCTCTTTCTCTCTCTCTCTCTCTCTCTTTCTCTCTCTCTCTCTCTCTTTATTCCCCCTCTGTATCTGAGGGGGAATAAAGCCTCCATTATCATTAATTAACGTCGTGATCATGTCACCACTTGTCTTCATCACCCAGTGTTATATACCCGTCTGACACTTACTGTGCTGCCCTTTGCTTCCTGCTGTGCCGCACTTGGCGCCGGAGCTCACAGCAGCACTTCGGGGACTTGTATGGGAACGTTGACGTAAAACAACAATCGATGGAATATGTCCAGACCAAATCATGGCGCTGAAAAACCTAATCAGTTACTGGTGCTGAAGACAAAATTCAGATGTGAAGTGTGCAGACGAGGAGTCACAATAACGTGGCTGAAATATGTTGACCAAACCACACACTAGAAAGTGAAGGAACGACGACGTTTCGGTCCATCCTGGACCATTCTCAAGTCGATTGTGATCGACTTGAGAATGGTCCAGGACAGACCGAAACGTCGTCGTCCCTTCACATTCCAGTGTGTGGTCTGGTCAACATGTGAAGTGTGTTCAAGCCGCCACGCTTTTCCCTGTAGTGGGGTTTAAGGCTCGGGGCTAGATCTGCAGCCTACTCCATTATTCAACGTCAGATACATTTTTTTGTCCAGAAAACAATCCGTCAAAAGATTTACATTTAGGTCCCAATTACTGCTGGGTGGACGGGAGAGCGAGGAGGAGTCAGTGCCGTATAGTTCAGCCATGCCCAGGGTTCGACCTCAATGCAGGTCATCTAAGCTGTGAGACAAGTGTTCCCATATGACCCACTCTACGTCCCACGCTCTCTCCTGACCCCAGACATCACGTCCCACAACCCCTCCTGACCCCACACACCACGTCCCACTCTCCCTCCTGACCCCCTTCCCCCCCCCCCCACCCACATCACGTCCCGTGTAACTATCCACTAAGTAAAATTAAGCGAAAATTCCGAACGTTTCCGAAAAACGTCCGGAACCTTCGCTTCATTTTCCCTCGTGGATACTTACGCATAAACGAATCATGTTGTTGTTTTGTGTGTGTGTGTGATTATTCTGCGTGATGCTCCGTGCTGCCAACAGTGCCTCTGGTGGCGATCGAGGGCCCGACGGAGCGACATATCCAGAGAGGGAGCGTCCTGGCGGTGACTTGTGTGGTCCGCCACCCGCCACACTCCGCCCCGGACCACATCCTCTGGTTCCACGGGCCCACCAACATCGACTACGACTCGGCTAGAGGCGGCGTCTCTATCCAGGTACGTCCAGGATGGATGAAAAAGTTACGAGGATGGAAGAAAGAGTTGTAAGGATGGAAGAAAGAGTTACGAGGATGGAAGAAAGAGTTGTGAGGATAGATGGATGGATGATCGATGTATACACAAACATTTTGTATAAATTGAATATAAAGATACAGGCCAGCACAATGCATCTAGGAAAGTACCTAGAAAATTTTGAATAATAGATTTACATGTGAGTGAAAGAGAGTGGATGCGGAGCAAATATTATATTTAAAGAATATTGTTAACTCTTCTCTTATACCGAGAAGGTCTCTGTCACAAATTGCATGCATGCTTCCCATACCTCTCTCTCTCTCTCTCTCTCTCTCTCTCTCTCTCTCTCTCTCTCTCTCTCTCTCTCCTAATCGAATCATTGCTCTCCCTCTAAGCATTTCTTGCTAATCTCCCCGGCTATTGTTACACAAGAATCCACAGCTCGATTCCACTTCTTCCACACCTGCCTACCACCACACAAGACCTTCCACACCTGCCTGCCACACCTGCCTATCCCACAATTCCCTCTACACCTGCCCACCATCACACAAGACCCTCCACACACCTACCTGCCACACAACACCCTCCACACCTTCCAGCCACATAAGATCCTCCACACCTGCCTACCACACCTGGCCAGCCTTGTTCCTTTAGAGTCTTTTAATATTTACACTACACTAACGACCCACTCTCGCGCCCTCTGGCGGAGAGCCTCTCAAGTGTGTGTGTGTGTGTGTGTGTGTGTGTGTGCGTGTGTGTGTGTGTGTGTTCACCTAGTTGTGCTTGTGGGGGTTGAGCTCTGCTCTTTCGGCCCGCCTCTCAACTGTCAATCAATCAACTGTTATTAACTACTAATTATATTGTTGTTCACACACACACACACACACACACACACACACACACACACACACACATACACACACACACACACACACAGGAAGCAGCCCGTAACAGCTGTCTAACTCCCAGGTACCTATTTACTGCTTGGAAACAGGTGCATCAGGGTGAATGAAACTGCCCATTTGTCTCTGCCGATGCCGGGGAATCGAACCCGAGCCACAGGATTACGAGTCCCGCGCGCTGTCTACTCATCTACCAGACCTGTGTGTATGTGGGTGTGTACTTACCTATCTGTGTCTACGGGGGAGTGAGGTGTAGCTCTCTGGCCCCCGCCTTAGCCTTGTACCTGTTGCGTTTCTACCTGTTCTGACTTTCAAATTCTTTGTCATACCGAACCTAAGAGATATAGATGGAGGTGGCTTTCTTAACTTCCTCTTTTTAGAGCATTCCACCTCTCCCAATCTGAAGAGGCTATCCTTATCCACCTTCCCCTCAGTATCTTGTAAGTTGTGATCATATCCCCTATATTCCTACTATCCTCTAAGGTTATAAGATTTAGTTCCATTAGCCTTTGTAGCTTTGTCCCGTTAGCTCTGGCACCAATCTTGTTGCAAATCTTTGTACATTTTCAGTTTTGGCTTTCTGCATCACAAGGTGGGGATTCCATGCCGGTGCTGCGCATTCCAGTATTGGTCGCATATATGTTGTGTTGGTTGTTTTGCGAGGAAGTTGCAGAATGTTTAGCAAAGAAATCGGTATTGGAAAAATGAGAGAAGCGAAATGAACAGATTACCGTGAGGCTTGTAATTGGTCCTCCCAGAGTCTGATGAAGGCTTGTAATTGGTCCTCCCAGAGTCTGATGAAGGCTTGTAATTGGTCCTCCCAGAGTCTGATGAAGGCTTGTAATTGGTCCTCCCAGAGTCTGATGAAAGCTTGTAATTGGTCTTCCCAGAGTCTGATGAAAGCTTGTAATTGGTCCTCCCAGAGTCTGATGAAGGCTTGTAATTGGTCCTCCCAGAGTCTGATGAAGGCTTGTGATTGGTCCTCCCAGAGTCTGATGAAGGCTTGTAATTGGTCCTCCCAGAGTCTGATGAAGGCTTGTAATTGGTTGCTCCAGAGTCTGATGAAGGCTTGTAATTGGTCGCCCCAGAGTCTGATAAAGGCTTGTAATTGGTCCTCCCAGAGTCTGATGAAGGCTTGTAATTGGTCCTCCCAGAGTCTGATGAAAGCTTGTAATTGGTCCTCCCAGAGTCTGATGAAAGCTTGTAATTGGTCCTCCCAGAGTCTGATGAAAGCTTGTAATTGGTCCTCCCAGAGTCTGATGAAGGCTTGTAATTGGTCCTCCCAGAGTCTGATAAAGGCTTGTAATTGGTCCTCCCAGAGTCTGATGAAAGCTTGTAATTGGTCCTCCCAGAGTCTGATGAAAGCTTGTAATTGGTCCTCCCAGAGTCTGATGAAGGCTTGTAATTGGTCCTCCCAGAGTCTGATGAAAGCTTATAATTGGTCCTCCCAGAGTCTGATAAAGGCTTGTAATTGGTCCTCCCAGAGTCTGATGAAAGCTTGTAATTGGTCCTCCCAGTGTGATGAATCTTTCCTAATGAAGGCTAATGAAGGCTAGTATTGTATATCATAGTTACAGGAATGACGTCTTGATCTTCGGGAGAAGACTTGTGTCGTTCAGGGTCTTGGGCTGCTCAAGGCTGTCTTCAAGAGCTGCAAGAGCTGGTGAAGGGGCGACCAGGCTTTACCATGTCTAACTTATTCAATGTCTTAAATGTCTCAAGAGGTCATCCCTGCCCTGCATTGTTTGAGGACTTGTGTGGATGTTCAAACTGGAGATGAGGAAAAATGGAGGAAGTGAGGGAAGGAAAGGGGGGAAGAGAGATAGGGAAAGGAGAGAGACGGAAAAGAGAGAGAGAGAAGCCGAGAGGCAGACATCAAAGTGAAAGAGAAAGGCAATCATATCAAAATAAATACAAGTTTATCATGTGTCAACACCCTGGAAACTGTCACGGCTTGACACTTGTTCCCGTGACTGTGTATAGTTTTCTTCCCATCCTCTCTCCTGCATGACACCTTCCCACCCCTCTCCTACCCTCCCTCCCTTCCCTTTTACCCTTCCCTTTTACCCTCCCTCCCTTTCTCACACCATCCCTCTCCCTCACACCCTTCTTTTCCCCCTCTGTCCCCACCATGAAAGCCTTCCTTCCCTCTCTCCCTCATACTCCTCCCATCACAGAGAGAAGGGAGAAATCTTTTGTTTTGTGTAGGAGTGGGGAGAGGCCAGAGAAGGGAGGAATAAGGAGAGGCCAGGAAAGAGTGGCGCCAGGCAGGAAGGGTTGTGGCGACGGGTGAGGGAAGGTGGTGATGTGAGAAGAGTTTGTTTGGACTGGTAAGGGAGAGGTGAGAGGGGGACTCTGAAGTAGCCATACACAGCACACACCCACACACTCCTGACTCCACACCCTGCCGCCCCTGCATGACTCCTTGACGACAATATTAATCGAAAATTGGACAGAAGAACATCATTAGAACACGGAGCCTACACACTGTCGTAGCCAAACACACCTAAAGCAGCGGAGATCGCGCCAATCCACGAAGTAAAGCAAATACACAAAATGATTGGCCCACAGTACTAACATCACACACACAAACATTTGATAGTGCCAGGAAGGTCACAAAACAAATGGAGTGAAAACATCTACCCAACGCTTGACAACGCGGGTTCAAAGAAACAGTGGATTCAGAGAACACCGCCTGCCTCTCACAGTCGTTTGACCATTATGACAGGACCGGAGATGTCACGAAAGACAAACAGACTACAGGCGAAATATATATACACAGATTTTGAGAGTCCTTTCGACAAATATGACCATGGTGTTATGGGGCATATAGCTGTACCCTCCAATGTAGAGTGCATGTTCCAGTATTTTTGTATCATTCTCATGTCAGATACTAGATGGGGGGGGTAGTACCCGAGGCGAGGCTGTGGCCAGGGCTCTTCCGAACACCCTCCCAGGTCTTCCCCCCACCCCCCACCCCACACACACACACACACACACACACACACACACACACACACACACACACACACACACACACACACACACACACACACACACTCCGTCTGCCCAACACAGTCAACCCGTCCTTCTAATAGCACGTTGTATTTTGACGTCTTGTAGGTTAGGATAAGGCACTTTAGTACGACTGTTTCTTGACGTTGAGAACACTCGCAAGAACAGCTTGCGCCCACTCCTTCCCTTCTTCCAACATATACACTCCTTTCCATAACTCTTTCTACTCCTTTCCCATCTCGCCTCATCACTGTAACCAACTTTCACAACATACACTTCCTTACAGTAAATGACCCCGACCACCGCATGAGGACTCTCCATAAAATAATACATCACCATGCAAAGTTGCGTGAGACTAGCCCTAAGCCTCTGACCTGCTACCATAAACATACAGATATTCTCTTTAAGAGTGACAAGGACACAAATAATTTGTTTATAATACTATATTTGTGGTCTGCAGATGGCACTAGAATTTTTATGAGAACATAGAGGACACAGCAAACCTAGCATGGTGCCGTGGCACTTTTAACATAGTGTCGTACTGCGCATGGAAGAAATAGAGCAATAACGCCCCAAAAAATGAAAACTTGCAAAAGAATGACTGGGCCAGAACTAAAAAAGTTACCTTAATGTTAGCTCATAATGTGCCATTATTTCGAATGTTCTCCCCGTGTATTGCGAGCCGACATTGTCTCACCAGAGAGGCACCCAACCACCGCTGGTGTGTGAAGATAGAGAGAGACACTCTTAAGAACCACTCGGTACAAAGCTTCTGAAGTAAGAACCAATTAGGAGCATATTCTTATTGCTATTTGTTGCCGTTGTAAGAACAGACGTCAGTGGTAGTCTCAGTAAAAGAGAAATATCAGTGATAGTCACATAATGAGTGTCTAGCAAGCAAGCGGAAGCAAGAATTAGCAGGAATTACTTCAGGGAGCTTCATGCTGCGCCACACTACAGTCACTAGTGAGACAAAGTTCATTAAACTTAAATTACCAGACATTTCCCAAGTTATTGCGTGTATCACTGATAACACAAGATAACCGACTCTCTCCTGCCCCGACACACACACACACACGCACACACACACACACTGAGTACCCACATGAGCCACAGAGACGTTAGAAGGAACTTTTTCAGTGTCAGAGTAGTTAACGGATGGAATGGATTAGGCAGTGATGTGGTGGAGGTTGACTCCATACACAGTTTCAAATGTAGATATGATAGAGCCCAGTACGCTCAAGGAATCTGTACACCAGTTGATTGACGGTTGAGAGGCGGGACCAAAGAGCCAAAGCTCAACCCCCGCAAGCACAAATAGGTGAGTACAAATAGGTGAGTACACACACACACACGCACACACACACATACACACACACACACACACACGTATACATAAATCTCTACTACGGGACCTATAAGGTGCTGTATAAACGTCTCGCCTTGGCGCCTTTTGATAAATACTGGACTGCGCCTTAAGGAAACGTTAGCCGACGTCTGCCAGCAACAACAGTCTCCGTGATCTTCAGGTCATCAGCCCTTAACAAAAGGAACAAGAACGCTTCGTGGCTGAGTAAATTAACCTAAACTATCTATTGTACAGAAAATTTGCCCAGTAAAATAGAATTACACCCGGCCTTAACCACTTCTTAAAAGCAGCGAAAAATTATGCGAGCCGTTGTTAAAACTGCGTTAATGGCGCCAGATTTAAGCCGGCAGGGAAATGAGTTTTAAGTTTAACAGAGAATTTGAGAGAGATTTCATGAATGCCCGAATTTCATGAATGCCCGAATGGGAATTTTTGCGGATATCAAGGTAAAAGTAGGAAACAGGATGGGGTTTGATGACGCAGTATTAATGCGCGATATGACTGTCTTCCCCTTTCCTGTAGCCCAACCACTTGGGCCGGTCGGTAGAACGACAGGTCGACGTTCAATCCCCGACCGTCCAAGTGGTTGGGGCACCATTCCGTTCCCCTGTCCCATCTCAAATTGCTTATCCTGACCCCTTCCCAGTGGTATATTAGTCGTAATGGCTTAGTGCTTCTGCTGATAGTTCCCTTCCCTTCCCTTCCCTTCCCTTCCCCCCTTTCCTGTACCGGGATGGGTGGCGTGAGAAGGGGGAGAGGGGAGGGGGGCCAGGCCCGCCATGTTGGAGAGCAGCATAGTTCAGTTCACCGATCATTAACGGAACACAATTAAATTAATGCCTTAATTTACACTGTAGTTCCTGGTAACGGAACAGGGAGAGGGGGTCATTGCCCCCTCGCAATCCTTCTCCCCATTACAACTACTCATCCTCTCACAACTACTCATCCTCCTCATCACAACAACAATCCCCTCCAACACACACTCACAACCACTCATCTCTTCACAATCATTCTCCCCTGAAACCCCTCCCTCACCACCTCTCCACTTCCAGCTACAACTGTCCCCATCCCCTCCCCCCCCCAGGGGCTCTTCCTATCCTCACAACCCACGTCAATTCTTCCCCCTCAATTCTTCCCCTCAGATCACCAGAGAAAAATGAAGCAATCATGTACACAGAACACTCTCTGTCTCTCTCTCTCACTCTCTCTATCTCTCTCTGACACACACACACACACACACACACACACAGGGGTGTGAGGCAGGGTAGGGGTCTGGTAGCTGAGTGGACAGCGTGCGGGGCTCGTAATCCTGTGGCCCGGGTTCGGTTCCCGGCAGAGACAAACGTGCAGTTTTTCTCTCACCCAGATACCCCTGTTACCTAGTAGTAAATAGGTACCTGGGAGTTAGACAGCTGTTACGAGCTGCTTCCTTGGGGTGTGTATGTGTGTGGAAAAAAAATGCAGAAAATAGTAGTTAGTAACAGTTGATTGACAGTTGAGAGGCGGACCGAAAGAGCAGAGCAAACACAACTAGGTGAATACACACACAAAACTCCTTATCTTTGCTGTAATCAATTATCATTCGGTATAATTTTTATTTTCACTTTTTATTTCGTCTTTTGGGATTTTTACATTTGTGTCATTTGCCAAAAAATTATGAAATGGGAAGATGGTGACTGCAGGTGGTGTTAGTGGGCGAGAGCAGTGGTGATAGTGAGCGTAAATAGTGGTAGTGTTGAGTGATAGTAATGGTGATGAGCAGTAATGATAGTGCTGGACACAATCGGAGATGGTGGACAGTGTGATAGTGTATCTAGTCACAATTAAGAAATAAATAATAGTTGATTTACCAGTATGTTGACC